TAAATTCAACCAATCACAGAGCGAGCCTAGGGTTTTGTTTGGCGACTAACAGGTTAACTTTAACATTAGGTAACAGGGTCCTATCTATAGTTTCTATCTCCAGGCCTCTCCCTCAGTAATGTGGAGGGTGGTCGCTGGACTTTCCTGATTGGGTGTTGCAAGGGTGGTTTCTCCTGCCTTGGGCAATGTGTAACTGCCTGATAGTTTTGGGAAAGCTGAAACTCAGCCCTTCTAGTTCAGAGGGGAAACTTAAAGCCTGTCATGGAGTCAGTTTGGTTTAGATGTTTAGACTTGTGGCCTTACAGGTGTATGTGTTTGAGTTTTAAATTTTTGATCCAACTTAGGGGTGCCTGGGTGGCTTGGTCAGTTAAGAATCCAACTCTTGTTTTCAGCTCAGGTCATGATCTCACATTCATGAAATTGAGCTCCACATGAGGCTCCATGCCCAGCTTGGGATTCTCTATCTCCCTCTCTCTCTCTGCTCCTCCCTGCTTGTGTGCTCTCTCTCTCAAGATAAATAAACTTTAAAAATAATTAAAATTTTGATCCAACCTCACACCAGCACTATAGTATAATACAAATAAATATAAAATCACACACAAAAAAAGTGCTACTTGGGAAAAAGTAGGGTGTTTTGACTGTGGATAGCACTGGAACATAGCCTAATCTTGGGACTGTGCTGTCAGAGAAAGCTTTGCGGAGGGTGACATTTAGATTGAGACCAAAAGAGTGAATTAATTTGAAGAAAAGCATTCTACACAGAGGGGATAATGTATACAAAGGTGTAGAAGTAGAAAAAACTTGCACATGAGGAAGTGAAACAAGCAGCACAGAGTGATAGTGAAGAGCCCAGGTCAAAGACAAATGGCCTGGATATGAATCCCAGCTAACACCCCCACTTGCTGTGCGACCTTGCATAATTTACATAACCTCTCTGGATCTTGGTTTCCTTTTTTACATCTACCTCGTAAGTTGTTTGTAAGAACAGTAATTAATTGTTCAATAAATATTAGTTTATAATATAACTGTTTAAACTAAAATGGTGCTACAAGGTTTTGGAGACATAGGCAGGGCCATAATATCATGGAGGCTTCTAGGCTTTCTTAAGGATTTAGTATTCATCCTAAATGCAATGGAAAACTATAGAAGGATTTTAAGCAGAGGTGTAACATCCTGAAACTTGTGTTTTAAAACTTTAATCAACAAATATTATGCTGCTTTGTGGCAAAAGACTCTCATAAGCTAAACCTTTCCTATCAATTCAGCCTTCTTTTCTTTTTCAAATTTTTATTAAATGCTAGTTAATTAACATATACTGTAATATTGGTTTCAGGAGTAGAACTTAGTGATTCATCACTTACATACATCATCCAGTGCCCAATATACCCAGTGCCCTCTTTGATACCCATCACCCATCTAGCCCATCACTGCCCCACCGCCCCTCCATCAACCCTCAGTTGTTCTCTATCATAAAGAGTCTCTTAAGGTTTGTTTTTCTTTCTGTCTTTCTTCCCCCTTCCCATATGTTCATCTGTTTTGTTTCTTAAATTCCACATATGAGTGAGATCATATGGTATTTGTCTTTCTCTGCCTGGCTTATTTCACTAAGCATAATACACTCTAGCTCCATCCACATCATTGCAAATCAGCCTTCTTTTCATTCTCTACTTTGTTCCTTGATCCTTTCATGTGTGATAGTCTCTTTCAGGCAAGTGTTAAGTCAATTCAAAGTTAGGCCTCATCGGAGTGTTCTTCCCTTCCCCTTCCTCCTTTTCAACCACAATGTCCTGGCATAAGGGAAGGTTTACTACTCTTCTTTGGTAACATGGAGGTACAGCTGGTCTCCAAGCTCTTTTTCTGCTGCCCTTCAGTTGACCTGTTTCATTCTGTTTATTTCTAATCCATCTCAACAGTTCTATCCTTCTGGAATCCATTTGGGATGAACACTACCACCAGAACTCTGAGAGCATCAACTTCCATTACTGCCATTATCTCAGTGGCCCAGGAGTCTTGCTGTGGGTCTTGTTGTGTTCACAATATGCTGGGGCAACACAGGAACTTTTGAATCTCTTACATTCTAGATACAGACTACTGGGAACCAGCAGCATTGTTTGGGAAGGTCTATCTAGACACTTGCTTTCACAGATGCTCCACTACTGCCCACTCTCCCTTTTCCATCTTAGGTCAAACACAGAGCTTCTCCTAGGCTTGTACCTGACACCAAGCTCAAAGGATCTCAGGTCACCCTTCTCCCAATGTGAATATTTCTACTGCGTCTTCCCACCTCCATACCCCTATACTCAATAAACGCTGCCTGCTTTTTATTTCATCTTATTTTCTGAAGAGAATCTCCCCTTTATAGTATGTCCCCTTTTTAGGTAGGGACCATATTGGTGGAATGGCTGCAGGGGAATATAAGTGGATTTGAGAGACATGATTGGGATTAGGATGTCCATGAAAAAAAGCTACATTAGTTTATTGTCAAAATATCATCTGCAATTAAATTATTTGTTTGTCTTAGGAAACTATCAACACCTAGAGGAGAAAGCAGGAAACAACCTCCTTGACCTCCACCGCAGCAACTTCTTACTTGACACATCCCCAAAAGCAAGGGAATCAAGAGCAAAAATAAACTATTGGGACCTCATCAAGATCAAAAGCTTCTGCACAGCCAAGGAAACAACCCACAAAACAGGCAACCAACAGAATGGGAAAGGATAGTTGCAAATGACATATCAGATAAAGGGTTAATATCCAGAATCTATAAGGAACTCACCAAACTCCACACCCGGAAAACAAACAACCCAGTGAAGAAATGGGCAGAAGACATGAACAGACACTTCTCCAAAGAGGACATCCAGATGGCCAACAGACACATGAAACGATGCTCAGCATCCCTCCTCATCAGGGAAATACAAATCAACACCACACTGAGATACCACCTCATGCCAGTCAGAGTGGCTAAAATGAGCAAATCAGAGAACTCTAGATGCTGGCGAGGATGTGGAGAAACGGGCACCCTCCTACACTGTTGGTGGGAATGTAAACTGGTACAGCCCCTCTGGAAAACAGTGTGGAGGTTCCTCAGGAAACTAACA